TTCGAAGATGATATAGGAGACGGCAGATCAGGTCGAGTTGATCCGACAGAGACTCAAGACAGCTCAGAGTCGACAGAAATCTTCAGCCGATCATCATCGACGAGATATTCAGTTCGAGGTTGGCCAACAAGCTTTTCTTAGAGTTCGTCCTATTCGCAGAGTGGTTCGATTCGGGAAGAGAGAGAAGCTGCACCCTCGATTCATTGGCCCGTTCGAGGTTCTCGAGCGAGTAGGCGAAGTCACATATCGATTAGCCTTACCTCCCGAGCTATTCGGCATTCATAATGTCTTTCACGCATCTATGTTGCGTAAGTACGTGTGCGACCCCGATCATGTCATTCCTCATTCAGATATTCAGGTTCAGCCAGATTTATCGTACGAGGAGCGACCGGTAGCCGTACTGGACCGTCAGGTTTGTCGGCTCCGGAAGTGAGATGTTCCCCTCGTGCGTATTCAATGGGATCGTCACGGAGCTACTTGGGAGGCAGAGGCTGATATTCGCGCTCGTTTTCCAGATTTTCAGTTTTGATGTACATATTTTCTTGTTTCATGTACATAGTTCATGTCTATTCAGTTATGTTTTGAATTTCCGAGGACGGAAATTTTTAAGGAGGGAGGATTGTAATATCTTGTCAGAATATTAATATAAATCATGTTTTAGTTCTGATATAATAATATTGTCGAGAATTATTTTTCGGAATTAATTATTTTCAGTCGAAATTACCCGAAATTATTTTCGACGTCCCGTTTATGTTCGGAATAATTTTTGGTAATTGAGTATTATGTCTAATTAAATAATTGAGCATTAATTGTGCTTAATTAGAGAGATAATCAAGATTAGCCTAATTAATGCCGTAGGCATTAAATTGAGTTTCCTCAAATTCTTTTCAAATTACCGTGGGCAACTTTCTTCACTTAAAGGAAACTTGGTTTCCCTTTCTTAAGCATGATGTGGCTTTCTTTTAGTCACTAAGGTGGTGACTAAGCATGTTTATGCCACTAACAAGCAAAATAATCAAGTCAAGTGTCCCATTAATTTTTCTACCTCCTCAAGTATATGCTACACGGCTATATATATATATGTATATGTTGGAACCCATGAGGATCTCGATATGCACAAATCACAGACAAACATTCAACATAAACCTATGCGCAGCGGATCTAAAGGTTTGATGAAGAAAACTTACTGCTTAATAGATCTGGCTGACCCGGACAGTTGACCGCAAATCAAATCTTCTCGGAATCGAACAAACTTGACCAATCCAGAAAGCTGACGTCACGGAGAAGTAAACGGCGTTGACCGGTCGGAAAAACGGGCTTCTCACGCGCTCTCACGCGCGACGAAAACTTCCAGCAGCAGGCTCCTCCCGGCGGCGCGTGTGGGCGCGTGCGGCGGCGTGCGGCGGCGATCTCGACAGCGATCTCTTCGTCTCGTCGTCCTGGTCGTCGTGGTATGGTCACTTGCTGGTTTTGGTCTCTGGTTTGGATGTTTGATTGGAATCTCTATATACCTTAAGATCTTCTACTGTATTCTCAAACAGCTTTCTAGATCTTGTATCAGTGGAGCACAAGAAGTAGAAGAACTCCTTGGACGAGAGAAAAAGAGAGCTGGACGCAATTCCCAAGTTATGGGATTGTTCTATTCTCTT